TTTAGTGTATTTGTGGCCACCTGTGTCGGGGGTGCTACGGATCCCCTGGAACTTCCCCACTGAAGTTGCAGGTGTTGTGTAGGTACTAGGAATCAAACTTGGGTCCTTTGGAAGAGTAGCTGGTGCTCTTAACTGTGTGTTGTGGTCGTCATCCAACCTACCTCCCTACCCCTCAACAGCCCGTTGTTATGACTGTACCTCCTCTTCATGTTTTCGACAGGGTCCTCATTGTATAACCCAGGCTGCCCTCAAACTCCCAGTCCTTCCCCACCAGTGAGTCCAGCTCCAGGCTCAGTGAGAAACCCTCCCTAAAAACTAAGGTGAAGTGCCATAGAGAACATCCCAGTGTCAACCTCTGGGTTCACATGGGTGAGTGATTCTGCCTCAGCCTCCCGAGAGCCAGGATGAGAGGCAGCGGAGGAGAGGGGCTGCCACACCTTCTGTGGAGTGGGGAGCCTGGATGTCATGCATTCTGGGTGAACTGTGCCCCTAAATGGCCTCTTTGGGTGGGGCTAGTCCCCTCTGTAGAGGGTTTTTATTTAATCCTCAAATGGTCCAGCACCTACAAGTGTCCTGAGATAAACAGTGGACTCAGCTAGGAGGTGGCCATGAGCACTGTTCACTCTGAAGGGATGTTTAGAGGGCAAATGAGCCGTGTTGTCCCTGAGAGTTGAGCAGCAGCAGTGGGCAGCACAGGGGTGTCAGCTGTGCCAAGGTCCTGTGGCAGACGCCCTGGGGGCAGGGATGGGGACAGCACATGGCCAGCAGTGGGCACCTGGGACAGGGCACTCAACATGAGTTCTTCCTAAACCAGAACCAAAACACCCTGGTATTAGATAGAGGCTTTGTCCCCGGGGAGGGGTTTCATTATGAATACCTTGAGAACCTCTGGGGAATGAGTAAACTTGGAGCCTCCCAGGCAGTAGCAGACCCTTGTCCTGTCCCTCCTCCACCCATCCTGTAATCCAGGGTGCCATCTGACTTCCAGGCCTTGCAATGCTCAGCTTCCCATCAACACTTTGACCTGTTTCTTAAGAACATTAACCCAGGGTCCCCAGACTCCCCCAGTCCTCAGGTACAATCTGAGGGAGGCAGAGCACTTGCCTGACTTGCACTGCCTCAGCCCCAACATTGGGGGACAGAGGCATCCCTGTGGGTTCAAGGCCAGCTTGGTCTACACAGTGAGACCCTGTCTTAACAGCCTCTCCTTGCCACACACCCACCACATGAGATACCATCTTGCTCTGTAGCCCAGGCTAGGCTGAAACATGTCACCCCTGCCTCACCCTCCTAGGTGGGCATGAGGCACAATGCCTGGCTGTCAGTGGTGCAGCAGTGGGAGTGCAGGCTGGAGGCCTGTGAAGCCCAGGGGTCCGGGATTTGGTAAATTCTCTCTTGTTGTGACCTTGGACCCCCTCCTGTTCCACAGCAGGGCCCAGTCTCTCGGTGAGTGGGTGACAGTGTGCGCGAGCAATGTGGTGACTTGCTCACCAGGGAAAGGTGGTCGCCCACAGGAGAAACTGAGCTTTTCTTATGTGAGACCAGGCACATGGTCAGGCTCATGATGCAGCCATGGCTTCAGCCTTCTGGGCCTGCCTGTTTCTCAGGAAGCTAAACTTTCTCTCCTCAGAGAACCACTGGCCTGCCCCTCACACACTGCAGGTGCTGGTGCGGACAGCAAGGTGTGCAGCTGCTGAGGGAAGTTGGTGGTTCTCCGTGAAGGGTTTGGCTGCAAAGTCTGGACACAGCATCCTGATCCTGGCTACTTGGAGGTCAGGGCTCAAGCTCTGTGACAGCTGGAGTCTGCAGGTCCCATAATGCTAGATGGTGGCTCCTCACTTCTGTGCTTGGACTTGGGGCGGTGTCACTTACTTATGGTGCATGCCTGCGTGGTATTCAGTGTTCACTGGCTATGCAGCCAGCAAATGTACATTTTCTAGAGCATTCTGTCTCAAAGGAAGCCTTATCCCCCTAAGGCAGCCCTAGCTCACAAACACACTTCTCTCCCTGCAGTCTCCTGTCCTGGGTGTGTCCTGTCACAGAGTCCCCTCTGTGGCTTGCTTGTCTAGGTCTCTCTGAGTAAAATTCCTGTGTCAGTCCTTACCCCTGTTCTTGGCTGTGTCGTACTCCAGTGTGTGGATGAATAGGGCAGGAATACACTGTAGTGTGTGAGGAATCCCGCAGGGCAACAGAGCTGGCCCTCCAATCCTCCTTGAGGTCTCAGGGCACATCCCCATGTCTCAGTGCGGCACAGCTGCTGATCTGGCAGCCTGCATGAGAGAGCCCTGCACTGCATTTGTACCTGCAACCATGCCACTGGGCCTGGGGTTGCTGCTCCAGGCAGCTCTTTTGCGGGTCTCACCTGTGGTCATGGTTAGTGGAAGAAGCACTGTGAGCCAGTTCCTGTGGGTGAGTGAGATGCCGGGACCACCAGGCCCACGTGCCAGCTTTCAGAGGGCCTCTCGTTCTCTGGCGTGCTCTTCCCAGGGCCACAGCAGGTCGTGTGTACACATGGCATCACAGCCAGCCTTAACAGTGGGACATGAAAGTTGTCCAGAGAGCCTGTGGGGTGTCTGAGGGTCCTGCTTTGTAGAGATCTGGCAGAGAGCTGCAGGAGACAAAGCCGTGCTGAGGCCCTGTAGGATGGAGCAGGGAAGCAGGGAGGTGTCTGGACAGGAAGCATGTGGTGGGACCCAGTGTGTGGGCTGACGGGGACTCCTCCCCGATCTGTGCTCCCTCCTCTCCTTCCCCAGGCCCCACTCTCTGAGGCAGTGAAGGCCAGGTCAGGAATCTGGGACCTTCCTGGCCATAGTTTCTGTTTCCTGTCCGTTTTAGCTTCCTTCCTTCCTTCCTTCCTTCCTTCCTTCCTTCCTTCCTTCCTATACTCTAGGTCTTGCTGTCTTCTGTTGGTGTCATTGCGATTTGCAGGTGGGATGGCCCCAACTCACTTGTTCCCTGCCTCAGTTTCACAGCCCACAGTGTGTGGAGGCAGAGAACCGGTGTCCATCTGTCAGTCAATCCACAGACGCCGCTGAATGAAGAGTGCTCAGGCAGGAGGAAGCAGATGGGGCCTCAGAACAGAGCAGCATTGATGAGGCAGAGGATGGTTGGCCAGGCAGTGTTTGGTGCCACCAGGAGACACCTAGGGAGGAATGTCTGCAGGTGATGGGCACAGCCAGGTCTACAGAAATAGAGGGTGTGTCTGGGGTGACATCCTTAGGCCTTGTGCTACTGCAGCCTGTGTGGCAGGCTCAGGTGGTTGTGATGGATAGGGACACAGCTCCCAACCTGCCCAGAGAGATTTGTAGACTTGCCCGAGGTAACACAGCATTGGGGAAGCAGACAACAGCCTGGAGGTCGAGGGGTCATTGTGTGGCCCCATGTAGGCAGAGCTGCCAGCAGACGTGGGCTGACCAGGGCTCACACACCACACCCGTAGCCAGCTGGTGGTGCCCTGCTTCCCCTCCTCCCTGACTATTTTTAAACATAATTTCCTGGAAAATGGGGCTGCTCACTCAGAAGATAATTGGCTGGGAGGAGAGGGTGTCTGTGCCTTGTCAGGCCTCCAAGTGACGCTGTCCCCCTCCAAACCGTTTCCCCAGGGTCTGTCTTGGCTCCCATGTTTCAGGCAGGAAGGGAAACTGAGGTAAGACCTCAGTGAGATCAGAGAGATCATGGGTCACACTGGGGTCTCAGCTTGGCTATGGGTGGGACAGGGATTTGGGACTTGGGAATGTCATCAGCAGCCCTGGGAGCTGCTGACTTCTCACTTGCAACCTCAGGGGCCTCCTACAAGTTCTCAAACATTCCCACTCTGCCTTGGTTAACCCAGCCCCCCACCACACCTCTCCTTTCTCCTCCCTGGGCCCCCTGCTGCACCCACAGATTGCTCTACTATCAAGGCAAATGCTGGGTCAGCTTGTAGAACCTTCCCCTGGCTGCCAGGTGCCCGGCCATTGGATGGCTACCTACTATCAACCATGTGGTCCCCAATCCCAGTCAGGGTGGGGATCAGGGTGTTTTCCTTGTTCCCAGCTGTGCCAAGTGTCTGGTGCTTATATCCCTTCACCCAGCCTTTTTCTCTCTCAGGACCCAGCAATGACACTGGGATCTAGGAGACAGGATCACCACCATTCCAAACCCACCTCCTTTTCCCCCACAAGCCTCTCCAATAGAGGTACCTGCCCTCCCCCTACCCCTGCCTTCTTCAAGGAGTGACTCTGGTCTGTGACCCCAGCAGCTCCATGCTGTGAACAATTTGTCTGTGCCCCAGACACAAAACCACAGACTGTTCCACTGTAGAGAGACCAAGGCAAGCACCGGGCAGCTTCCAGAACCTTCTGTGAGTTCCTGTGACCTCCACCCACTCTGGGACCCCACAGCCTCCAAGTCCCTGGTCCCTTCATTACCAGCACTGCAGTCCACACAGCCCTGGCTGTGAAACCCACGTAGGCACAGTTAGCTAGTTCCCATCTCTGTCTGGATCCAGGGATCCCAGTGAGTCTATGCTGGAGAGAAGACACACACACGCACACGCACACGCACACGCACAGGCACCCCTCATGGACCAGGGACGACTTGGTGAGTAAAGGGCTTCTGTGAAAGCTGATGGACCAAGTTTGGATCCCTAGCACACAGGTAACAACTGGGTACCTTGGCATACCTGTGACCCCAGCACTGGGGAAATGGAGACAGGAGGGTCGATGAGCTCTCTGAGTGACCACTAATGGTGAGCATCAGGTTCAGTGAGAGACCCCATCTCAAAAGCCAAAGCGTACTTGGGAGGCAGAAAAAGGTTATCTCTCTGAGTTCTAGGACAGCCTGGTCTACAAGTGAGTTTCAGGACAGACAGGGCTACACAGAGAAACCCTGTCTCAAAGAAACAAACCAAACCAAGGTGGAGAGCAATTGAGGAGGGCAGCAGCCTGAACCTCTGGCCTCCATGTGTGCCTCAAGGTGAAACATGAAAGACACATGCTAAACGTGCCCTCCCTCTCCAGGTGTGACCCAGAAGAAAGCTGTCCTTGCAGAGGTGAGTCCTGCCGACCCTCCTGTCTGAGGAGGCAGCGGCCTGAGCATCTGATGTGTGTCCTCTGACTGCACAGCAGTTGAGTGTGTTGGACAGGGAGAGCAGTAGTGGTGGGGGGTTCCAGCTGTAACCACCACCTGCTCCGGGGGCTAAGAGTCCTGAGTGCATGGTGAGGAATTGGAGGACCTTGTCCCCATGGCTGTAGATGGTTTTCCCTCAAGTCCTCAGATGGGAGGGTCCCAGGGACACCCAGAGCTTTGGGGTGTGAGCCCCAGGCGCCAGTGTCCTGTGGACAGTGTGGGCAGCCATCTGGTTGCTTGGGAGCAGTGCACCTCCTGGTGGCAGGTGTCAAGAACTGCAGGCTGCTTGGCCCCAGGTGACAGGCCTGGCCTCTGTCCCCTCAGCCCACAGCTCCAGAGACCTTCTGCCTCCCAATCTCCCTTCTTCTGCACTTGCAGGGCCCTCTGGCAACATTCCTAACCTGTTCTTGCTCCCCAGGCCCCCTTGGTGACAGGGCAGCCTGGCCCTGGCCATGGGAAGAAGCTGGGCCATCGAGGCGTGGATGCATCTGGAGAGACCACATATAAGAAGGTGTCTGTGGGGGCTATCACGGGTGACCAGAGAGGGAGGGACTGTGGGCAACCCACGCACGGCACACAGGGGCCACAGCCTCCCCACCATGGCTGTTGCTATAAACACAGTTGGGTGACATAGTCCGTGCACTCCTTCGAATTGACCTCTTTTAAAGTGTACAGCCATCAGAGATACGAAACTGTCCTGTCCTAGAACCCGCCCATCCCCAGGAGAAGCAGCTGCCCCTCTGAGCCCCTGCACCCACCCACAAATCTGCTTCCTGGCGTGTTGTACCCTTGTTGTGGCATGGAGAGGCCCTGCTGTGGGTGGTGGCTGTAGGCTTGATGAATCCTAGGATCTCGCTGCAGCTGGGTGCCCTCCAATTGCAGCACACTGGGGTGGGGGGCTGCATAGCACAGAGGCCTTGGGGGTCCTGATACCATCCACCCTCCCTGCAGACCACCTCATCCACCCTGAAGGGTGCCATCCAGCTGGGGATCGGGTACACGGTGGGCAACCTCAGCTCTAAGCCGGAGCGTGATGTGCTCATGCAGGACTTTTATGTGGTAGAGAGCATCTTCTTCCCCAGGTATGCCCCAACCAGCACTCTGCCCTCAAGTGGCTGGGCAGGAGGGCCTTAGCGTGAGCCATCTGTGCTCCTGCCTTCACATCCACATTCTAGCAGCAGGAAGGAGCACACATGACAGCTGCCCTACTCGCATCTCATTGGCCAGAGCTGGTCACATGACCATAGCTGCAAGAGAGTCTGGACTGCCCTGTCTTGTTCTGACTGACTTTGCCCTGGGAAGTATCATGGGCCTCAGTGCCAGTAAGAAAGGGAGGGAGCTGTGGGTGACATGGCTGTCATCTAAGCATGCCTTTCAGGGTTCTGGTCCCAAAACCACTCAAGCCAAGCCTGGTGGGCATCTGTCACCTTAGTGTGGGGCAGGCAGAGACTTCATGGCCAAGTCGGTGACCTCTGGGTTCCGTGTCTCGGGAGTTGACCTTTGACCTCCACATGCAGATGTGGAGGGAGGGAAGAAGGGTCTATTCTGAAGCCAGTAACCACATCCTCGCTAAGCAGGGATCCCCAACCCAAATTGTTCATTAAGCTGTGCGTGGGATAAATGGGGAGAGGCACCACAGAAAGCCACCATCCCTCACAACCATCCCCCTGTATCCTCCTCCGCAGCGAAGGGAGCAACCTCACCCCTGCCCACCACTTCCAGGATTTCCGCTTCAAGACCTATGCACCTGTTGCCTTCCGTTACTTCCGGGAGCTCTTCGGCATCCGGCCAGACGATTACTTGGTAAGTCTATCAGCGTCACCAAGGCTGTTGCCTGAGAACAGCTGGTGTGTGCACCTCCTCTGGGTGTCCCGTGGCCCCTTTAAGAACATACCCCCTCACAACCTCACCCTCTCCTGAACTTCACCACCACCATGGGCCTCCTCATGGCAGTCTGCCCCATTGTGCCTTTTGTGGTCCTTGTTTGCCGGCTCCATTGAGTTGGGCACAGTCTCCTGGAACCTGTGGATTCATCTAGAGAGAGCGACTGGGGCTTCAGGCCAGAGCAGCACAGACCCGGTCGAGGGACCCTTGGAGGAAGTAAACTTGGGACGATGTTTATAGTGGACAGGGATACAGGGCAGGCACCTGAATTCTCGTGTGTCCTGCACCATGTACTCACCATGACACTCTAAGACCAGCCGTGTGGGGAGAGGAACGCAGCCAGGTGTGGGCATCCCTGCTTTCCCAGGACGTTGGTGGCTTATGGCAGTGGGTGGAGGAAGGACAGATAGATGCCCGGCTACGTAATGGCCAGGTGGGGAATATGTAGGAAGGAGTGAGGTGTGCCCACTGTCACTTGGGAACACACCAGAGCCCATCATGCTCTGTGTGGCCTGCCAAGGCAGACAGAGCCCCCGAAGCTGCTCACGCCTCCCACCCCCACCCTCCAGTACTCGCTGTGCAATGAGCCACTCATCGAGCTGTCCAACCCTGGTGCCAGCGGCTCTGTCTTCTACGTCACCAGCGACGATGAGTTTATCATCAAGACCGTCATGCACAAGGAAGCCGAGTTCCTGCAGAAGCTGCTGCCTGGCTACTACATGGTGAGTGTGTGTGTGTGCACATGGGGTGGGTGCAGGGTCTTCCAGAACTGTCTCTGCAGGCCCCAAGCAGGGGGATGTGTGTGGGAATGCCATCTCCCTGCTCCCAGCCAGCTATGCCCTCAGGCCCACAGCAGTGTCTGTCTGTCTTGCTATGTGTCTCTCTCTTTCTCTGTCTCTGTCTCTCTTGGCGTGGGGGACTGACTCTATGTCAAGGGAACAAATGAGAAGACTCCCTCATAGAAGGCTGCTGCCAGGGTCGGGAGCTGGCTCCCCCTCCTCCACTCAACCCAGACTCTCAGCCCAGGGCAGGGACCTCATTAGTGACTTCACAGGCCTGCTTATAACCACCCTGGGTAACCCAGCATAGACTTTGAGTCAATTTCTCCCCTAGGGCATCTTTTTTTTTTTTTTTTTTTGGTTTTTTCGAGACAGGGTTTCTCTGTGTAGCTTTGGAGCCTAACCTGGCACTCGCTCTGGAGACCAGGCTGGCCTCGAACTCACAGCGATCCGCCTGCCTCTGCCTCCGGAGTGCTGGGATTAAAGGCGTGCGCCACCAACACCGGGCTAGGGCATCATTCTTACACTGAATAATACCCAGAATGGGACACCAGACGTCCTTATCTCAAGCCAGCCACTGACTTCCTGGGATGGGACAGGATGGGAATTCTGACCTTGAGAGCCCTGGGAGACTCCATGCAGGAGCAGGGGCCAAAGATGGCTTGGGGAAAGGCCCCTGACCTCCATGTGCATCTTAGTGCACAGATCCACTAGCAAATGGCAATGAGCAGGGTGCACTAATGCAGACTGTCAGCCTGGGGTCCAGACTGAGACAAGATGACTATAAGGTGAGGTCCCATCTCAACAGTGTAGACGTGGTGGCGCCCACACCTAGAATCCCCCAGTGAGGGGCTTGGGTATGGTCAGGGTGGCGCCCACACCTCCAACCCCAGCTCTCAGGAGTGGGAGGCAGAGGCAGGTAGATCTCTGAGCTAAAAGCCAGCCTGGTCTACAAGTGAGTCCAAGCTGGCCAGGGCCACACAGTGACAACTTTTCTTAAAGAAATAAACAAAAAAAGAGGCAATGGGGACTAGAGAGGTAGCCCAGTTGTTCAGGGCACCAGCTTCTCTTGCAAGAGAACAGGGTCTCAGTTCTCAGCATCCACGTGGCAGCTCATAGCCATGGGATCTGATGCCCACTTCTGGCCTTTGGGGGTACCAGGCACACACAACATGCATGTACACACATGCACATAAAATAAAAATTCAGATTGGATGAGAGCCTGATAGTGGTGTGCGTGCCTTTAATTCCAGCACCCAGCAAGCAAAGGCAGGAGGCTTCTGTGGGTTTGGACAGGCGGGACTATACATAGAAACCCTGTCTTAAAACTAGATGAGAGGACTAGGGATGAGGTCAGGGTGGAGCCCCGCCCAGAATCCCTCAGTGAGGGGCTGTCCACATGGTCGGGATGGGGCCCTGCCTAGAATCCCTCAGTGGGGGCCTGGGAGTGCATGGCAAGGGGCAGTTGGGAAGTCATGGCACATGACCCCCTACTCATCAGATCTCCAAGGCTATGGCTGAACCATAGCCATCTGACAGCTACTGTTCCCTTGCCCTGCAGAACCTCAACCAGAACCCACGCACGCTGCTGCCCAAGTTCTACGGGCTGTACTGCGTGCAGTCTGGCGGCAAGAACATCCGAGTGGTGGTCATGAACAATGTGCTGCCCCGAGTAGTCAAGATGCACCTCAAGTTTGACCTCAAGGGCTCTACATACAAGCGCAGGGCAAGCAAGAAGGAGAAGGAGAAGAGCCTGCCCACCTACAAGGACCTGGATTTCATGCAGGACATGCCCGAAGGGCTGCTGCTGGATGCCGACACTTTCGGCGCCCTGGTCAAGACGCTGCAGCGCGACTGCCTGGTAAATATGTGCTCCTTACCCTGGAACTGCCCTGCCAGACTCAGGGGTGGAACCAGTTTACTTTGGTGTCTCTTGTCCCAGCATGGGAGGCTGAGGCAGGAGGATCACTCAGGCTAGGGAGTTAGTCAAAGCCTGTGTAGGTTAAACAGAACCTCTTTTAAAAATGAAGACAGGGCTGAGGGTTTGCCAGTGGTTAACACTTAGGTAGCATGGGGTTGGCCTCTGTCCCCAGCGTCACACAGTGAGAAATAAGAATTTAGCAGGAAGCAAGGCTCAGTGGTTAGGGTGTCTGCCCAGCATGCTGGAGCCCTGGGTTACATCCCACTGTCACAGAAACCAGGTGTGGTGGCACAGGCTTGTACTCAGAAGGGTCAGACTCAGCTACATAGTAAGTTTGAGGTCCAGCCTGGGCTACATGAACCTTTTTCTGAAAAATAAGGCAAGCCGGGCGTTGGTGGCGCATGCCTTTAATCCCAGCAATCAGGAGGCAGAGGCAGGCGGATCTCTGTGAGTTCGAGGCCGGCCTGGTCTCCAGAGCAAGTGCCAGGATAGGCTCCATAGCTACACAGAGAAACCCTGTCTCGAAGAAAAAAAAATGAGACAGGGTTTCTCTGTATAACTCTGACTTTCCTGGAACTCACTCTGTAGACCAGGCTGGCCGGTAGAGTTCACCTGCCTCTGCCTCCTGAGTGCTGGGATTAAAGGTATGTACCTTTTTGTTTATGTGTTTGTTTTTTGAGACAGGGTCTCACTATGTAGCCCTGGCTGCCCTGCAACTTGCTATGTAGACCATGCTGGACTCAAACTCACAGAAATCCACCTGCCTCCATCTCACGTGGAATTAAAGGTGTGCTCCAAACAAGGCCTACCTAAATGCAGTTTCTGAATTCCTGTGTCTTGTGGAGACCATAAAGACCTCACTAGCCATTAGCACTCTATTTTCTTGAACTCACCATCTGTAGTTCTAAGGCTCCCTGGAGGGAACAGCCCAAGGGCCTCCTGGCTTCCTGTCCCGGGAGACCCCGAGGAGGATTGAGTGCCTCCTGATCTGAGCCCTAGATCTGGGAGTGACAGATCTGGCCTTTCCAGGACCCCAAACCTGGCCTGTCCAGATAGCACTTAGATACCTGTGTCCAGTGTACTGCGAGTCCCCATTAAGTTTGCAGGCGTTGGCAGCTGGGCCACCTGTCCCCTGACCAGTGTCCCTGGGCCAGGTGCTAGAGAGCTTCAAGATCATGGACTACAGCCTCCTGCTGGGTGTGCACAACATAGATCAACAGGAGCGAGAGTGCCAGGCAGAAGGTGCCCGGAGCACGGCAGACGAGAAGCGACCGGTGGCACAGAAGGCTCTGTACTCCACAGCCATGGAATCCATCCAGGGTGGCGCTGCCCGTGGGGAAGCCATTGAGACGGATGACACGTAAGTGGAGTGGGGTGGGGTGGGGGATTGTCCTTGGAGATGTCCGTATCCCACCTGGCTACACTTCCTTGTAGCCTGCAAGCTCCTTCCCTCACAGTTACAGGCACTAGCCCCAAGGGGGCAGTGGAGCTGGGCCAGCCAGGGCTATTTAGTGAGACCCTGTCTATAGGGACAGTGGCTTTGTAGTGGCCCTGCAGGAGGCCTACCTGACCCTCCCTTCTTTGTCTACCACCCCATGGCCCTGAAAGAGAGGGTGTACCACCCCTCCCTCAGATTTCCAACTATGGGTACAAAGTCTCTAGTGTTGGGAGGGATATCTCAGTCACAGCCTTGGGGATGAGGCCCAGTGGCACTCACTGGCTTGGGCTCTGAGGAGTGTTGGCCACAGCTCTGTCACCTGTGGAGGGAGAAGAGTGAGCAAAGGCCCTGTGAGGCCATCCTCCTCAAACCACCTCGGCTTTTGTAGGATCTGCGTGGGGCCCCACGGGGACCAGGTGAGCCTGTGTGCCCTGTGTGAAGTGAGCCGAGCTGGTGGGGCTTCCATCTCCAGCTGTGGGGCTTTGGGCTGCTGTGGCATTGAGGGGCATCACTAACTGGACTGGGCCTTGTGGCAGCTGGTGTGGTGTGGTTAACAGATTAGGATGTGCAAGGCAGCCCTGCCCTGGGTGCAGTGCACATGCATGCATGGAGGCGTGCTGTAGTCAGCTGCTCAGCCTGGACCCCAGGGCAGCCTTCAGCCGCCAAGTTACCCCAGGATAGAGGTCCCAGATTTGTGGGCCTGGTCTGTCTGTGTTCAGCTAATCCAAGTCTCTCCCCACAGGATGGGTGGGATCCCGGCTGTGAATGGGCGTGGGGAACGGCTGTTACTTCATATCGGAATCATTGACATTCTGCAGTCCTATAGGTACACAGGCCAAGCCCAGCTCTCCTCTTCCTACCTTACCACATCCATTCAGGCTGCTTAGCCATGCCCACACACCCTCCCTCCCTTGACCTCATCCCACTTAACCCTGGTGTCTACCCAAAACCTTCAGACCATCCTGGTGACCTAGCCCACCAGCTCAGCCTGGCCAGGTCCCTATCCAGCCCTGCCTCATGCCAGTGTTGGGCCAGTGGACTGACCTTCTGGATCCTTCTATCTGTTTCCAGGTTCATCAAGAAGTTAGAACACACCTGGAAGGCCCTGGTGCACGATGGGGTGAGTGTCACTCACATTCATTCACTGTGCCCATCTGCTCACCACTGAGCAACTCAGACTTCCCAGGGTGCTGCCAGGCCAAGGGACAAGGGGACATACAGGTGCCTCACAGCTCAGACCCGGCCTCTGGTTTCCAAGGAGTAGTGGGAAGGGTTTCTTTATGTGACAAGCTGCTGGGGCCTCACTCCCCCGGCCTCCACCTCTGCCCATATAACCTAGGCTCAAAAGAGGAGCTCCGCTAAGGGTCTCTAGGAAGGTGCAGGAGGGAGCTCCCCGAATGTGTGCTAAGGTTGGGGTGCAGTGTCCTGTCGTGATGATGCTTGCCCTGTCATTCCGGCACTCAAGGGGCTGAGGCAGGAGAAACCTGGGTTTGAGGTCAGCTTGGGCTGCATAAGTGACCCTGTGTCCTGTGTCTGCAAACAAACAAACAGCTGGTGGGCGCACCCTCTGGTGACCCCGTCCCTACCCCTCTGTGCCTTCCTAGGACACTGTCTCAGTCCACCGGCCCAGCTTCTATGCAGAGCGCTTCTTCAAGTTCATGAGTAGCACAGTCTTCAGGAAGAGTTCCTGTGAGCTGCCGCCTGTGGGAGGGGACACAGGGCCAGAAAGTCCCCATCTGGGTTTGGGGACAGAGTGGGGTCAGCCTGCTAGTTCCTGTGAGCCCAGGTCTACAGTCCTGGTGACTGGGCCCAGAGAAGGCCAGCACTTCTCCAGTTCACAGCCCAACAGCAGGGTGTCTGGGGAGGGGTGGGCGGGGCGGGCCTGACCTGAGGATCAGGCCATGAGGGGAGAAGTTGCCTCCAAGAGGCCATGGAATCTGAGGTGGTGCACGACTTTAATCCTAGTACTTGGGAGGAAGAGGCAGGTAGATCTCTGTGAGTTCGAGACCAGCCTGGTCTACAGAGCGAGTGCCAGGACAGCCTCCAAAGCCACAGAGAACCCTGTGTCAAAAAACAAACAAAAAAAACAAAAGAAAAGAAAAAAAGAGAGAAAGAAAAAAGAATCTGAGGCTACCACAGCACCGAACCCCTGCCCTCTTTCCCCTGCAGCCCTGAAGTCCTCTCCATCCAAGAAAGGGCGTGGTGCCCTGTTGGCTGTCAAACCCCTGGGGCCCACAGCTGCTTTCTCGGCCAGCCAGATCCCCAGTGAGAGAGAAGATGCGCAGTATGACCTTCGCGGGGCCCGCAGCTACCCCACGCTGGAAGATGAAGGTGACCTGCCCGCCTGGGTTCTGGGCACCCAGGAAACCAGACCTTGAAGGGACCTGGACACACGGGCTGGGGAGAAAGTAATTTGTGCAAAGGCCTTGGGGTGGCATGAGGTCATAGGAAGTGTAGAGGAACAGCAGGAGGTGTGTGGACTCCTGCGGGCATTGGGTAGTCTCGGATTTTGACAGTTGAGGTGCCGGTGGACAGGGTGGCTGATGGGAGAATCTGGAGGAGCCAGCTCCTGAGGTCAAGCAAGTGGGAGATGGCACCCCACTCTGCTTAGGCTTACCGCTGCTCCCCACAGGCCGGCCTGACCTCCTGCCCTGCACCCCGCCATCCTTTGAAGAAGCCACCACAGCCTCCATCGCCACCACCCTGTCTTCCACCTCCCTCTCCATCCCAGAACGCTCCCCTTCGGAGACATCAGAGCAGCCCCGGTACAGGTGGGTGGAGCAGGCAGGTGCGGGGCGCAGGTGGGCAGAGCCCTGTGTCACCATAGCTCTGACAGCCGATACATGGTAACGCTGTGCCTTCCCCACAGGCGGCGCACGCAGTCTTCAGGCCAGGATGGCCGGTGAGCCCCCTCTTTCCCCGTGTCCCCATCCACCTTCTTCAAAGGCAGCAGCGTTTGGCATTGAGCTCCAGGCTTCACCCCACAGACACTGCAGGCCTGGCCGGCTTCCAGAACCTTCCGACCCTCCTGCATCTCAGGTCCAGACACCCAGCAGTACCCAGCTCCCCAGTGTGTGGGCCGCTGGCCATCTCTTGTGCTATGAATCCCCCCCAGGCCACAGCAGGACCCAGCGGCTGTGCCTGCTCCCTCAAAGCCCCCAGGCTAGGAACCCCCCCCCCCCAGGGGGGGAACCAGGAATTGCAGGCAGCTCTGGGATCAGGGAGGAAACTGAGGCTGGGCTGTCCCCTGCAGGTCCCAGGAGCCCCACATGGAGGATCTGCAGAAGATCACAGTGCAGGTGGAGCCAGTGTGTGACGTGGGGATTATGGTCCCCAAGGAGCAGGGTGCGGGGTGAGTGAGAGCCTTCCCTATTCAGCCATGATGACCTCACCTGGGGGTTTCACCAGGCTAGGCTGGATCTAGGGACATGTGTGGCTATCACTGTTGCCCCAGCACTGGGGAGGCTGAGGCAGGGTGGTGTCTTAGTCAAGGCTTCTGTTGCTGTGGAAACACCATGACTGGGAGCTGCTTGGGGAGGAGAGGGTATCTCAGGTCACACTACTACCTGTGAGCCTCCGCCTGCTTTCTTACATTGCTGCCAGGGTGGCCCTGCTCACAATGGGTAGGACCCGCCCACATAAATAAATCAAGAAAATATCCCCATAGGCTGGGCACAGTAGTGAACACCTTTAGACCCAGAAGAATCTCTGAGTTCAAGGCCAGCCTGGTCTACAGAGTGAGTTTGAGAACAGCCAGGGCTGTGTAGAGAGACTGTCTCAAAATAATTATATAAACTAATAAAAGAAGAAAGAAAATGCCCCACAGAGTGGGGTGTTAGTGGCGCACACCCTTAATCCCAGCACTCAGGAGGCAGAGGCAGGCGGATCTCTGTGAGTTCGAGACCATCCTGGTCTACAAGAGCGAGTGCCAGGATAGCCTCCAAAGCCACAGAGAAACCCTGTCTCGAAAAACCAAAAAGAAAAAAGAAAAAAGAAAATGCCCCACAGACTTGCAAACAGGGAATTTTCCTCATTCAAGGACGTCCTCTTCAAGGAGGACTCTACTTGTGTCTTGTTGACACACCTGGGCAGCACAGATGGCTACAGGCTAGACCCAGTCTCCAAAACCAAAGTAGTAGTGTCCCCTGAGATGGAGAGGGGGCTGGTAGGTTAGGGCCGGGAAAGCGGACTGTGCTCTCCTAGAACCACCTAGGACACCACCACTGTCCTGTGTCTCCAGAGGGGAGGTCCCCCTATCAGGGGCATCAGCTGTAACCACTGTGGAAGTGGACGCTGCCAGCCAGGCCTCAGAGCCTGCCAGCCAGGCCTCGGATGAGGAGGACGCACCTTCCACAGACATCTATTTTGTAAGTTCCCCTAAGCCTCCCTAGCCCCAAGGCACCTGTGGACCATCGGTCACACCTGCTTCTGTCTTGTGTCATTGCCCTGGGTGGCAGGGCTGTTGCACCTTCTTGGCTAAGGGGAGACCTGAGCATAGACAAGGCCCTCCAATGAGAATTCCTTGGTCTTCTGGGGGGTAGGTTCTGTCCATGACTGTGGGTCCTGGGGACCCAGTGAGTGACAGGCCCCATTGCTGTCTGTTCTATGAGGGGGGCCTGGCTCCATGTGGACAAGGCTGATTCAGTCCAGCCCTTGGGGATCTGGGGCACTTCATGACCTCCATCCACCATGGGGAGAAACATTAGAGGGGCTGTGGCCCCGTACAGGGACACACCCTATAAATATAAATAGGTCAGAGCCGAAGCAGCCCCTTGGGGTCACCTTTTTTCCCTGGTGCTGCAGTGTCACCTGGGTCCAGGGTTGTCCTCACTGGCCCTCATTGCTTCCCAACTAACTTACCCACTGTGTCTAAGCTGTGTCACTGAGGCCCGCACCCCCACCTGTCCCTAGAGAACTCTGGCCAGGCCTACGGTCCCCATGCTGGGGCTGAGAGGATGCGTGTATTGCTGGCTTTGGTCCAGCAGTGCCCAGAGCTGCTTCCTTGATGAGGTTCTGGGGCCCTCAGCCCTGACCCCGCCCGCACACACATTCTGTCTGCTTCAGTCGCTTGTGCCTGCCAGCCCTGCTCGGCCACCCACCTGTCTCCCCTGCCTGGTTCCCGCCTCATCCTCTGCCCTCTCCTCTCTTCCTTCCTCCCGCCCGGCCCGCTGTGTGGCCAGTTCGCCCACGGGAGATACTGGCTTTTCTCTCCCCGTCGTCACCAACTGCGGGCCGTGACACCGAGCCACACAGGCGCTGTAAGTGACCACAGACCGTCACACGCGGAGATGGGCTCCCAGAACACAGCACCCCACACCCCTTCTCTCCTCAAATGACTGTGGAAAATCATAGCCGTAGTGGAGGTTAGCTGAGCCCCAACCTGACTGGATGCACTGTGACCAGAAACTGCCACAGCAGCTGCCCGTCTGTAGTGGGGTCCCTAAGACCCCAGTCCACCCATCTAACAAGTGTAGACACTTATTATCTAGGCTCTATCATTTCCTATGTAGCATACAAGAGAAACGGAGGCTCAGGCCACATGGAGTCCAGGCCTCATATTCCCTACCACTGTCACTGCTAGGTCAGCTCCCAGTACATGTGACTGGGCTAGCCTTGTAGCTAGCCTACTACCTCCATATCAACAATGAGTACCAGGCCCAGAGAGGCTGAGTGACATACCCAGAGCTGCACAGCATTGGCATAGTACAAACAGAGCACGGATGAGACACACCTGTCACCCCAGCATTGAGAGGTGGAAATAGGAAGTTTGGGAATTTGATGGAGCCAGGGATGGCTAAGATGAGGGTGCAGCCAGGCGTTGGTGGCGCACACCTTTAATCCCAGCACTGGGAGGCAGAGGCAGGCGGATCTCTGCGAGTTCAAGGCCAGCCTGGTCTCCAGAGCGAGTGCCAGGACAGGCTCCAGAGCTACACAGAGAAACCCTGTCTCAAAAAACAAAAAGATGAGGGTGCAAAGCAGAGGAGACTCTGGTGAACTCCTTGCAGTAAGTAGACCATATTTACAGGGCTGGTCTCTGGAGGGTCACCCATGGCTCTTTTATCCCTCAGCTTTTCTGTCTGAGGCCCTCCTGTGCTTGGGACACCACTCCCTGGGACAGGCTTACTTCTAGCCTGTGTCACTGTTCCCACCCAGGACAGTGCTGCTTGCCCCTTGGAAGCCAGCCCAGCAGCGGGAGGGGTGACAGCCCAGGCTGGCTGGCTGGGGTTCTGGTCCTGTGGGAGCCCACCGAGGCTCACTCAGCTCCGAAGGAACTGGTGCAGCCGCCATGTCCTGCCTGTCCCTGCACCCACAGTGCTCAGTGGAACCTGTGCAGTGCCCAGCGTCCAGGGGTGTGGCCAGAGCAGGAGAGGGGACCAGGACAGTGGGACAGATGGGGTTCGCATGGAGAGGAGATCCCCCATCCCCCTGCACCCCAGCTTCACTAACTGCTTCTGCTGCCACCGCTGCTTCCCCAGGGCCAAGGGTTGGGGGGCAGGTGCCCCTCATAGAGGGAACCGGGGTTGCGACTGCTCCCCAGGGTTGGGGGTCCCCCTCTTTTACTTTCTGTCTCTTCCTTCGCCTGTCTGCTCCTCGCGCCCTGCTCTTGTGCACCCTTCCTGCACGCGCTGTGCAGCCCACCGACGAGAGGAGCTGGGTGTACTCCCCGCTTCACTATAGCACGCGGCCCGCCTCCGACGGCGAGAGCGACACAGTAAGTCCCCAGGCAGGGTGGGAGGACAGGCCTGAGCTCCTCCCCCTCCCCTGGCGACTCCCGCCCCTCCTCTCCCGGCTCCTCCCTCTTTCTGGTGACCCCTCCCCTTCCTCCAGCCCCTCCTCCCTTGGACTCCTCACCAGTTTTTGCTCCTCTTTCTTCAACTCCCACCCCCTCACACACCTGCTTTAGGCACAGGCATCTCTAGGTGAGCCAGCCAGAAGGCTCAGGGAAACCAGGCCTGACCTCCAGGCCTCCCACATCTGAAGCCTTAGCGGGTGGCTGGGGTCCCACCTGGGCACTGCCCTCCCTCACCTGCCCCTCTGTTCTTTGCAGTAACTTCTATGCAGTCCCTAGTCTGGAGCCCAGTGTCCTTCTGCCACCCCAGTCACTTCCTGGAGGCAATGCCCCTCACTGGGGCCCAGAGCTCAGCAACATTACCCCAAAGGCCCTGGCCCGACCTCATCCTCTCCCTCCCCACCGACGGATGCCACCGGCCAGGCCCATTCCCAGGATAGCTTGGGCCACCATCTGCCGCTACCTGTGCCTGTTGGGGCGGCAACATTCGGAGGGCCCGATTCTGTATTTATTTTGGGTCCTTTTTTGCACGGAGAGGGAGCACAGGAGTGATTTTCTAGGACAAAGACAAAAGACACAGAAAACCCAGGAAGAGGCTGCAGCCACTGGCCTTGATGGATCAGGCTCTACATGTCCTCCTATTTTGGGGGACCTGCCCCACCAGCTAGGTGGTTCCAGTAAAGCCTACTCTCTCCAAGGCTCTCATGGTGGCCTGCAGAGGGGACAGGCCCTGGAGCCTCTGCTTGCTCCTGAGTTGGATGAGGCCACCGTTGGCAGCCTCAGCAGAGCCCCTCCATCACCTCAGGTTTGGGACCCAAGCAGACCAGGACTAGCCATGCCCTGTGTGCTTTCTGCAACTTCTTATCGCCACCGGAAGTATGTCCTCAAGCACGTATGTCTTGCGGTTACAATCACACCTGGCGATGACTGGGAGCAGCCACCCTGTTTGCCTCCAATCCCTGGGAAGCCCTGAGCTGGGGACGTGGTATCCCTCCACTCCCAGGGAACTCCCCTTCAGAGCAGATCCTGCCCCGAGAAGAGCAAGGCCAGGCTGCAGAGTGACAGCTGGGCCCTCAAACACCCTGGCTGAAGATGAAGCACCAGAGCCAACTGTGTGCACTGGGACACCTGGGAGAGGGAGCTGTCCCTTCCCCTGGGCAGACTTCACCCACCCACACCCATGTGGAACTTCTGGCAAGTAGTGTGTTGGGTACAGTACCATCATGTCCCTGTCTCATGGATGTTCTACCCGTGGTGTTCTCCTAGGAATCAAGCTGGACAATTCTGAAAGCCAGGCTGCGCTCCCGGTACACAGCCTTTGGGTCAGCCCCATGAGCCCCTGGGTTGCACCTTCAGGGACATAGAAGGCAGGACCTGACTGGCTAACGGGGAGCACAGCAGGCTATGGAGGCAGTGAGGACCATGACACAGCCCTTCCTGCAGGCACCCACTTCCGTCACGGGAAGAAAGGACATGGACTGGAAGCAGACCCTAGCTGGTATTTACAGACAGGGCTGAGGTAGGAGGGATGGACAGACGTCTGCCCTGGTCCTCACTGCAGTTCCATGTTTGTGTTAAAGTCCCAGAGCCCCTCCAAAGGTCTCCCTTGTTTGCTGATGGGGGTCCTGTTTTGGCACTGGCAAGTGACATCCATGTGGTGAGCTGCTGAGTGAGTTGATTCAGGGGCTACAAAGGCCCAGTCTTGCATAGACCCCTCCAGGAAGGCATTGTGTCATCTGTCATCCCAACACTTGGAAGGCTAACGCAGGAGGATTGTGGCAACTTCCAGGCTAGGCTGCGCTACAGAGTGAAATCCTGTCTGAAAAAAAATCACAGGGCTGGCGCTACTGCTCAGTGGGCAAAGCTCCCCCAGCCATCTGAGCCCTGGGTTCCATCCTAGCACTCACAAACAAGATGGGGTGAGGCATCTGTCACTCCAGCGCTTGGGAGATGGAGACAGAAGGAGCTCAAGGTCATACCTGCCTGCATTTCCAGTCGTAAGCCAGCCTGGGCTACAAGAGACCCTCTCAAAAAAGAATCTGTAAATATTTTGTGATTCCCCATCCTGTTCTGTCCAACGGCCGCTATCGCCCCACCGTGGACGGCGTGTGATCTGTACTGTAAGGATCAGAGGTACCTCCAAGACTGAGGTGTCCCGGGTCCGCCTCTGTTCCCCCACCCCCAGCCAGTCCCCTGTCCAGCCCCACAGCAACCTCAGTGCAATATATGCCCTCCCCGTGGGGTCCCTTGGCACGGTACTGTCTCCGCAGTCCTTCCGTACCCCACCTCTCCGGTGGTTAAAAAGATCGCATCGCACACTTTCACCCCAGGCCTGTTTTTAATGCTGAATCCATTCTGAAAACTTCAAAACCTCGTGTGTCTTACTCATCAGGGCGAGGGAGTCCCGGGTCCTCAGCCTCTGCGGTCTGGTGTGTGACAATCCAAGCACGGTGTCCCCTTGCACCAACCAGGGGGCCCTGTCCCTCCAGTGCAGCCGCTGCTGACAGCAGCCGGCATCTGTATGCAGCCCAGGTTCCCACCACAGCCCCTATTTTTAAGTTAAAAATCTCTAATAAATCGGGTATTAAGCAGCTCGCTTCCGGTGCCTTCGGCGTGAGGGGCGGCGTGTGGCGCACGCAGTGGCCGAGGGTGGGCTCCACGAGGCTTGTCATCGCGCTCCAGTGCAGCCGGGGTTGCGGGGCTTCCCGTCTTCAGGCCTCTGTTTCCCGTAAGTCACGACATGCACGAGCTGACCGACCAAGTCAGCGAGCAGTCCCGCCCGGACCTAGGCTTTACGGGCGCGGGCCCCACGTTCCCAGCACCAGAGGCCTCCGTGAGTGAGGTCTCCCTCGAGTGCTCCTTCCGGGCGGGGAACCGCCCCTTCCGGACGCCCTGGCCCTGGCCCTGCCCTCAGCTCGGCATCTGGGCATCTCGAGTCCCAGGCGCCATCACCGAGGCCTCCCGCCTTCCCCGAGCGCAGCTGCACTTCCGGCCCACCGATCCGTGCCTGTCAATCTAGCCTT